GCGGGGGCCCGGTGCTTGGTCCCGCCCCCCACTAGCTGGGGCGGGGCGGGGGCCGGACTCTGCAGGAGGGGCGGGGTCGCCCCCGTGTCCTCTTAAGCCAGTTCGCGTTCCTCAGCCCTCCCCGCGGCGAGGATGACATTTTCCCGCCGAGTGACTTTAGCCAAGGCCTCCTTCCCGGGCCTCAGTGGGTCCCCAGTAAATAAGCTCACAAACCCCTCCACCTGTAGAGTTGAGGAAACAGTTCTGGCAGAGCAGGGGTCAGTGCCGGGATGGACGGGGCGCAAGGCCACCCTCAAGGGCACAGGCCGCTCATCCAGGCTGCGACTCAGTTTCACCTTGCTATGAAATGGGTGCCGATAAGGCAGTAATTACTATTTCGGCACTGCAAGGTCTCTCAGGTCTCCTAGATCTGGCCTCAGACTGCCCAGCCCCCACCCAGCGTGGGCCTCGAGGGAACAGTCCCCACAGAGATATTGTGGACTTGGCAAACGACCCCATGGGGGACCCACTTTGTGTCTTGGGTTTTTCCCATCAAGACAAAGAAGTCCAGGGTGCACCCCCCACCCCTCCCACCCCTACAGCCTGGTGAATGTGCAGCCACACCCTGTGGAGTCTGGCTCTGCAGGGGAGGGGAAAAGCTAGGCTGGGGCCATCTTCTTGCATCTTACCCCACAAAGGCAAGCCAATGGCTCCAGCATCGTAAACAAGGAGACAGGTTCTGAGGTGAACAGAGCCCGGGCCTGGGCCTCCTGCCTCCCACCTGCTTCTCCCCAGACCGCACTCAAAACTGAGCCTCCCCTGGGGCCATCCCCTGCTTCCATGATGTGTCAGGTACAGAGGCCACATGGCCAGCATGCTCAAGCTCTCTGGGTGCTCACCATGTGCCTGACTGAGCCTCAGTTTTCCCACGTGCACCGGGGTGAATTGCCCTGACTGTTGACCCCTATATCTTCCATCCAGGGCAGTGAATAGGAGGAACACTGCCCTAAGGAATATAGCCACGCCTTATGTTTCAGCTGGTTCTGTCTTCCCAATTTTGCCAGTTGGTAGTGCCCCAGCTACATACCCACCTTGGCCAAGACCGAGGCAAGTCCAACAGCCCAGCTGCACAGGTCTCTAATAGTGCCCCTCCACACTGGGTGAGGGTCAGCCCTGCTCCAGCTGGGTGTCTGGAGGAGGCGACCCTTCCTGCTGGAGGATGAAGAGCAGGCAGCCAGGACCATGGGGCAGCAGGTGCAGCAGCAGTAACCACTGGCTCTGGCTCTCCAGCCTTGGCCCCCAAATACCTGCCTTGCCACCAGCCCGAGCTTAAACCTCCTCTGGCTCAGCAGGTAGGTCACTAGGCACCTCCTGCTGAGATTACCTTGGGAGGCAGGTTTGGCATTGAGGAAGCTGGGCCTGGCTAGGTGGATGTGGCCATGCCTCCCTCTGGTCCCATCAGCCCAGCTACAACCCCGGGAACACGCTCTCTGATCCTAGCCTGAGAAAATCAAGGGTGTGTGATGGGCGGGGTGGGGTGGTGGCCTGAAGTTGAGGTTATATAATCACTAGGTGGATGTGGCCATGCCTCCCTCTGGTCCCATCAGCCCAGCTACAACCCCGGGAACACACTCTCTGATCCTAGCCTGAGAAAATCAAGGGTGTGTGATGGGCGGGGTGGGGTGGTGGCCTGAAGTTGAGGTTATATAATCATCAGCTTTTGGGAGGCCAGGGCAGCTCCAGGCTGTGGGAACATCTTCCCACCAGGGCATCGACCCTCAGGGTGTCATCTCTCCTCCCACACTGCCTGTCTGTAGGATGGAGAACAGAGCCTGTTCCGGCCTGGGAGGGCTGGACTGGAGGCAGCCTCGGGATCATTGGCTGCCACTGTCCCCATGTGGCTCAACAGGGCTATTCCACTTTCCCCCCTGAGTTTGGGGGATGCAGTCTTTACCCTTTGGAGTCTGGAGGCCATGGGAGTGGTCCTCGCACCCAGACCCACCTGCCTCAGTCCCAGCCTCCTGTGTCTGGCTGGGCAGTCCAACCGAGGCTCCTTGGCACCGGGTGCTTGGAAAGATACCTTCCCCAGTGGGTCTGGGGCCCTCTGGAGACATTAGTTTGACTCCGACTAGGCATTGTGCTCCCCTTCCCCATGGCTGTGCATTCTACGTGGATCTTGTAAGTGGACGTAGAAACCATCACCTGCCCACTGGCAGACAAGAACACCAAGGCTTAGGGAGTGGTGACTAGCCCCAAGTCCCCCAGCCTGACAAGGGCTGCTGTTTCTGTTATTTCACATTCCCTGGCAAGGCAAGGCTAGCCCACTGGGCCAGCCTCAGCAGAGACCGGCACCTTGCTCCCTTTCCAAACTGCCCCAGGCCACCAGCACATGTATGCCAGGCATGGTCCCCTGGAGTCAGGGCCCAGCAGTACCAAAGAAGGGTGGGCGTATACGCAGGGGCTGGGGGATGTGCTGGGGGGATGTCTGGCTGCCAGGTTTAGGAGGGTAGGGAGCTGAGCCAGGGAAACTGAGGATCCTTCTGGGAGGGCCCTCTAGGGTCACTCTGTGAAGAGCCCAGAGGACGCAGCAGGTACCGCCCAGCCCTGCCTCTGGAAGGTGAGGAGGGGCAACAATGGGAGCAACAGGGGCCTCTTTCCCCTGGCTGCAAGGACAGCTCTGCCCTGATGACCCCCTGCCCTATGCCTCAGTCAGTAACAGGAACCACAATAATCACATCAACCTTCAGGTCTCCCTACATTTCTGCCTTCTGCCCTCACCACCCCCCAACTACTGTTCCCCATCTACAGATTAGGGCACTGGGGTTCAGGGGGCCTGACTCCTGAGTGAGCACCCCAACTTTAAAGTTCTCAGGACCTGGCCATGGAACAGATGGCTCCATAGCTCCTGAGGCTGAGCAGGGGCCTGAGCCCAGTTTGAGGGCAATAGCCATTGGGGAAACTGAGGCTCCCAGGTCATTCTCTGAGCTACAAGCAGAGCCTTGCTAGAACTTTCCTCTGGGGCTGACCCACCAGTGTGTACAATGAAGGAGAACCCTGTGGGCAAGGAGACTTTGGAGCATGCAAAACCCTGTGTCTCCTGGCTGACCAAGGAACTGCCCAGAACAGACCCTGTCTAGCTGCCTGGGCCCCAGGGACTCACTCTAGGAGGGTGCTGTTCTAAAGATCAGGCCATATCCTGCTCACTCTTTACATGGTGCCCAGCATACCAGCCCCCTTTGGCTCCCACTTTCCTTTCCTCCTCAGAAGCCCCAGCAGGTCTTACAATAAGCCACTGCATGCTGGCTTGTGGTCTATCAGGACCCCTTGATTGTTTCCCCACTTGGCTGTTTTCACCCTTCCCAAGTCACTGGTCTGTTACCTGCAGGACCAGCTGTTGCCAGGCCATCGGCAGGGGCTGCCCACTGCCCATGCCAGGCTGCTGGGCACGCTCCAGCTGTAGGGCAACGTGGCGCCGCTCCTGTTCCAGTGCCCGTGTCAGCCGCTCGAAGCGGGCCTCCTGCTCCTTCACTGAGGCCAGAATGCTGGCGGCCGATTGCACGTTGCAGTCCTCCATGACCAGGGTGCCCGCCAGCTGCAGGCAAAGCAGAGCAAGCTCAGGGTGGAGAGGGTCAGCAGCCTGGTGAGCACATCACAGGTCCCCTGCCCTCCCCACCCTCACAGATCATACAACTCACTCCCAGACCAGAGCATCCAACTCTCTGGAGGGAAGCTGCATTGATTAAATTTTAAATTAAAAGCCATTAATCCGAGGCTGGCTGGAAGCAGCTAGCTCACTCCTTGTGGAGTGTGGGGTTCTGACCCAGGCTCCTCTGCTTCCTGCCAGGCCCAGCAGAACCACAAAATGTGGGCATCTCAGAGCCTGCTGGGAAAGGCAGGAAGAACTGTTATAACGAGCACTTACAATCTCCCAGGCCCTCTGCCGGCCACGGCACATGCCAGCTCACCCCAATCTCACAGGGCCACCCCTGTGCCATCTCACAGAGGCAGATGCCAGAGCCTAGAGAGGGTGGGGGACCACCCGTAGCCACAGTGTGGCAGAGCCAGTGTGGCTAGCAGGCAGGAAGTGAGAAGCCACACCACTGCTGCTGGGTGCCCAGGACACCTAGGTAGGCACATGGTGACCACAGCCCCAGCTACAGTGGCCTGTGGACTAGCAGTCTGGCCTCCACTCACAGACACAAGGGCCAGGAACGAGGGTGGTATCTTCTCCACATGGCAAAGTGGAAACCGAGTACAAGCCTGGTTGAGGTTCTAGCTGGGATTGCATGAAGTTTAGAGACCCTGTGCTCAGAAGTAGCCCATGTGCATGACACCTGACCCAGAAGAAGAGGGCCAGGGGCGTGAGCATCCAAGGCCCAGCACTAGGGGAGGGTTAGGCCTGCCCAGAGTCCCAGGGGAGCAGACAGGGTGGCGGGGGCTTGGCAGCTGCAGAGACAAGCCAGTGCTTTCCTCACAGCTTGCTCTCTGGTTGCCCAGTGTGCTTGTTTTTCGTGGGCAAAAAGTAGCAGAACAAATATGCAGAGCTCTGACCCAGGCTCACAGCAGCCGGAGGGGTACAGGCTACGCAGCCACACTGCCAGTGCTGCTTGGGCCTCCTCCCACCCATCCCACATTGTCTTCAGTAGGCCAACTCTGCTGGACCCCTTGACCCTTCACCAACATAGGGCCTGAGCTTAGAGAGGGGGAGGTCCTCGGTGTGGGGAAGACACACACAGCAGGTGACACCGCCAGAGGGCCAGCTTTGCTGCTCACTGGCCTAGACAGAGCTAGCTGTAAGGACAGACCTCCGTAGAGAAAGGGTCAGTGCTGGGCATGGCCACACCAGTGCTGCTGGGCCAGGGAGGCAGTCCAGGAACGTGGGGTGCACCTCAGAGGTGAGGGGACACCATGGAGCCCAGATTCACTGTAACAGCCTGGGAAAATGAGGCCCAATGAGGGCTTGAGGCCAGCATAGGCCCCCAAAGCCACATGTCTTTTCTCCAGCACATGTCACACAAATAAAACCATCAACGTGACCTTGCAGGGGGGCTGGCGTGAGTGGAGGAGCTGTTGTTAAGTCAGCCATAGCCAGAAGAATGAACCAAACTGGTGCTGGGAGAGGCAATGGCTGCCACCCAGGGGAGGTGGTAGGGAGCGAGGTACAGACTGAGTCCTCCATGACAAAATAAAGGGACAATCCATAGCTACGGGAACACAAGCTCTCCTGTGCAAACCCACCAGTGTCCACACTTGGGCCCCAGACACACCAACACACGAGCCCTGCATTGCATACACACTAGATCTGTGTGCATATGAACTGAACCTGGCAGTGGGCCCCAGGTGGGTGTGGTGGGGTCTTCCTCTCTGGGAGGGTGGGGTGGGCGGCAGGAGCCAGGTCACCTGAGCCCGCAACTGAGTCTTGAGTCTTGTTTGCAGCACTGGCCCATCTCAGCTGAGCCTTAGAACCGAGGGGCAGAAGGGACACTGTCCCTGGATGGTAATGACCCATGGGGCAGCTGTTGACCTCATGGTGGCTTCTTTCCCTCCTTGTGCAAAAACATGGGTTTCTGTCTGACCATAGGCTTCACCCACACCGTCCCCCATTCCCCATCCAGCAGGACCACGTCTGGGCTGCAGACCCTGGTGACAGCTTCCCTGCCCTGGCTGGGGGCATCTGCCAGGGCTGAGGGGTCCAAGGAGACCCCCACCTTGAAGGGGGCCCACTGGTTCAGGCCTGGGGCTGGCTAGGGGTACAGAATCCTGAGGCCACAGCAAGAAGCTGGCAAAAGCCCACACTGACCCTCCTGCTGCCCATTTTGGCTCACACGGTGTACAATAACTGTGTCTCCCGGGCAACACCCCCAAGCACTGCCCCGCTCAGGGGTAGGGAGACCCAGCAGCTGCCCAGGGGAGGGCAGAGGCCTGGGTGTTGGGCCCATGCCATTTGCCCCAGCCCCAGGGTGCACCCTCCATCTGCCCTTGGGTGAGGGCACTGAGCCCCACAGGCCGTAGCCTCAAGAGCAACCCCAGGGTGCGAGGGCATCTAGGTAGAGCAAGGAAGGCTCAGGCCCACTCCTAGATATGGTGGCCTCTCTAGGCCCATGCACAGGAGTGAGTGTGGGCTTGGGTGATCCAGGCCCAGTACTCCAGAGGGCAGCTTTTTGGATGCCAATTCAAGACACTGTTTTTATATTAAAACAATAAATATGCGGTTGTCATGGAAGGCAAAATGTGCATGAATCTTTAAGATCAACCACAGGACTTCAAAGATGTTTTCCCTAGCTGGATCCCAGGACAGAGCTGCCAATCCTGGCTGGGGGTGGGCACAGAAATGCTTCTGTGAGGGCTCAGGGAGGGCCACAGGGGCAGACAAGAAGGTGTGGTGATGCGGGGCCTCAGTTGACCAGGGCGCCTCTCTGGCTGATACCATCTGGTCTCTACTCACTTAAGAAGGACCAGGCACTGCCTGCCAGGTGGACCCCTCATGACTCCCACCCAGACCGCAGCAACCAGCTTCATGTTGTCTTCAGCCACACATGCCCACACATGGAGTTGATTTAGCAATAAGACCAGAACAACACCGGGCACCCAGGAGTGACCACACCCCAAGATTATGTGGCAACATCAATGTCCAGTCCAGAAAACATCAGAAACCATGGAGAAGGGGTCGAGAAGATCAGAACCGGAATTAAACCCTGAAAAAAATAAACTGCAAAACAAAAGTAATAACCCAGTCCCAGCAACAACAGACACTGGCTAGGCATCCACTGCGTGCCCGGTATCAGGTCAGGAGCCACCTTTGATGATCTCACAGAAACCTGCTGGGCAAAGATGTGGCACAAGGAGAGAAGCACAGGAGGAGAAACAAGCTACCTGAGGCCACACAGGTATGAAGAGGGAGACTGGAGGGAAGTGAATACCAGATGGACAGTGAGGGGGAGGGACAGACAGATGGGTGAAATGGATGAGTGGGTAGGTGGGTGGATAATGGAGGATGGACACATGGGTGAATAGATGGATGGGTAGGTGGATGGATGGTGGGTCTGTAGGCGAATGGATGAGAGGATGGATGGAGGGATGGAGTGATAGAAGGGTGGATGATAGATGGGTGAATGGAGGAATTGGTAGATGAATGGACAGATGAGTGGGTGGGTGGATGGATGGACGGAGGGAGGGGAAACGGGAAGATACGAGGCTAAATTGGAAGGGGGAATGAATGAGTGAGTGAATTGGTATGTGGATAGACAGGTGAGTAGATGGTTACATGAGAGGGTGAGGGGTGGGTGGAAGGGTGGATGGATGGCAAATAGTTGGATGGGTAGGTGGATGAATAAAAGGATAGGTGCAGGATGCACAGATGGGAGATCGGTGGCTGATGGATGGAGGAACAGACCGATGAGTGAATGGACACTTGGATGCATGGATGGATTGATGGGCAGGTGGGCACTTTGGTGGGCAGGTAGGCAACAATGAAGCTCTGAAACACGACTGGAAGGAGAGAGCCCTCTCTGGCAAATCGTGGTCAATGCTTGCTCTATCAGGAAAGTGAAGGCATCGTCAGAGGAACCTGAGGGTAGAAACTGAATCCTTCTTATGAAACCCAAACCAACATTTGATGTCTTCTTGCCGACCCAGACATTCCTCCTCAGAAGGAGTCCAGCCAAAGCCCTGCTCCGGAAAATCAAATTATGGGGCCTGACGCCAATCTGGGTTGTGGAATTGGAGGAATTTCCTAAGGGTCAGGCCATTAGAGGGAGGCAGGCGAAAGGCCTGGCTCCAGTCCTGACCCCTTGCCAGCCATCTATCAGAGCACTGCCTGGGCCGCCCCTGTCTCCATGAGGAAAGATGGGGGGCTGGTGACCATCGAGCCTCCTTCCATCACCCCCGACTTCTACACTCCACTCATCCTAACGCGGAGCAAATGGTGCCAGGAAGTAGCCCAGCAGGAGTGGAACATAGGCCCAGCAGTGCCAAAGCCCACTGTCTCTGCCAGTGTTGCAGGACATCATGGGAGCTGTCCCATCCCCTGCCTCTGATGCTGCCAGCATGGAAACTTGCTCCCCACACTAGTTGGCCAGGGCTTGTGGGGCCCCATCTTTACCCTATAACCCCTGCTGTGGTCAGATGGTGCCCCAAACCTCTGGGATATCTTCTGGCCAAGCCCATGAGGACGGCACTGTGCCCAGGCTGCTGACAGGGTAGAGCAGGAGACCTGAGCCATGGGAGTCACACAGGGCAAAGTCCACAGAGCCACAGCCGAGGGTGATGGCCTGCAGGCTCCAAGGTGGGGGTCTGGGCAGCAAGAACCCACCGTGCCAAAGGCCAGGACCATAGGGCCCCTCTCAGGCAGCACCAGGCCTGCAGTGCCTGGGCTGGCAGACAGCTGTTCCCAGCCTTTAAGCTCCAGGAGGAACCGCCAGGGAAAGATGTGCCAGCCTGATTTTGTGAGAAGGAAACATTTCCATACATTCAAAAAAAAGCACACCACATAGTGCGGTCATGTCTTTTTAAAAACGTGACACCATTTAGAGCAACACTGCAGCAAGCGTTTGGAGTGGAATGACGAGCGTTGGCTTTACTTCTAGACCG